AAAGTCACAGGTATTGATAATTCTGACTGCAGTTAAGTTACTACCTTCATCATTTAAGAAAATGCTAAATGTCATGTAGTATATACTCATGTAGTCCCATCCCTCCTGAATTCCAGCTGTGAACCCAGACTTAAGAATCCCTGAATTAAGGCAGGACTAGCCTGATCTAGAATGTCTACCCTGCTGACAGGAGTAGGATCTCCAATAACCCTGCCTCCTGACCCCATGAGGTCACCGATCTTCGCACTGTGCTTTACTTTCCAACATACAGATACTGTTGGGTGTGGACCACTAGCCCTTGCACACCTGCATGGATCTGTGAAGAGCCACCACCCTGGAATAGAGGTTGGAAAATGGATTCTTTGGACTTTTGTCATTTGCATCATGCACTGTCATGGTGGTGACAAATGAGCCCAGAGGCTGGCACCCATTCCCGTTGACCCCCATGTTCTGCACTTCATAAACATATCTGATCTTTTTCCTTCCCTGCTCCATGCCCTTAGCTATTTCTTGTCTTGTTCAGTTACCAAAAAAGATTTCGAGTTGTAGGTACATTGCCTTGCAGAAAACATTTTCCTTCTTTCCAGGCCATTCAGCTCGCTCCCTTTCAGGCCTTGGACTTCCTATAAACTTGCATCCCACCGCTTCTTTTCTGGTTGCCCTTCCTAATACTCACTTACCTTTCAAGATCTCCTCCTGGATCTGATAGTGTGTAATCTTGTGGGCTACAATGAACTCTGTAAAGAACAGAGACATATTGACTGGGGCTGGATTCCTGTTGCAATATTATTCTTGTTGCTATGTGACCCTGGGCATATTGACCCCCTCGATTCCTTCATAAGAAAAAGACAGGAATAGTACTTTCTCCACAGAGTTGCCATGAGAACTAAATGCATTAAAGCTTGGAAGCTTACAGTGCCTGGCACACAGTAAGCACTCAATAAATTTTAGATATTGGCAGCCCTTGGCTGATTCTATTCTGCTACCGTCCACCCTCAACAAAGTTCTCCAATTCTAATCTTTGGAGTATTCACTCATATTCTGTGTTCCTGGGACTTTGATTTAAGAGAAAAATGAGGACTTTTTGGAATCTTCTGAGACCTGTGCTAGAAAAATCCAGAAAGGATCTAGGATCATCATCATCATCAAATCTGACACTTGAAGAGACTTACTCCTCTGCCAGATGTTTGTTGCATAATATTTTATTTAATCCCCCAAATAACCTCACACTCTGTATTATTAGTCACATTATGGTTGATGAATCAGGCTCAGAGGGATTAAGTTATTTGTCATCCAAGGTCACACAGATCCCCTCCTTGAATTAAGGATCATCTCCTTCTAGCCAAAGATTTCTTCCTGAGGATATGTGTTAGCTACAGAGAAGCTTCTAGAGTGAGTTCTGGAAGCTATTGTTTGCTGGGTTATCAATTCCCCTCTGAAGCCACTTGGGTTCCCTGCACTGGGCCATTTTAAAGAAGGCTTGGCTCCAGGGTAACCATCTGGCACAGGCTCATGCAGCTTTTGTGAAGTCACATGTGGTCGGGGAGTTGCCAGGAAAAGGGATGTCTTGATGAGCCAAAATGCAAATTCCTTAGGAGAGGAAAAGTGAAAGTGAGCTTGTTCACACTGTGCAGGGCTCCAAGGAAATGACACAATGCAAGAGACACCGTGTCCTGCTACTAGGTTCCATCAGACTACAGATAGAGTATTTTGCATTTGATCATAAACTTGCCTCCCAACGAACTGTTTGCTTCCTGGGACAGTAAGAAAAGCAGAAGTGACCCACATTTAAAAAAAGAAAATATTCAAAATACTCATGCTAGGTGCCTCCAAGCCATTTCAATGCAGTCCTCTGGGAGTAAGGATCATGGTTTCCTCACCAATCCCTAGAGCTTCCCTTGTCCTAGAGAAAAGACACTCAAAGTAGATCAAAATCAGAAGAGAATTTGGAATTTGGAGACCCTGATTCAGTTTACTTGCACTGAAAGGATTTCTAAGGCCTTCACTGGGGTTTCTAAAAGCCTTTCTGTGGCTATTTCCTCTTCTTCCTCCTTCTCTTCTCCCTCCTCCTTTTCCTTCTCTTCTATGTCTCTTCCTTTCTTCCTTTTAAATTTTTTTTCCTCTGCTGATCTTTCCTTCTCCAGAATGCCTGTCCCACTGGCCTATCCATCAACTCACAGAAACTTACCAAGTGGGCCAAGCCCAGGGCTGCTTTTTGGACAGTAAATTTCTGCCCTCATTTTTGCTTCTCCCTGACCTTTTAGGTTATATTTACAACCAAAGACTGGGGATAGAGATATTTGGTGGTGGCTGGCATTTTAGACCAGAACAATTAATGACATTGTTTATAGACAATGTTGTCTGGGAAGGTTTACTTAGGGGCATTTTGAGCTTGAATTTTTTTAGAAAAACTATTTAAAAGCCTTCTAGAAAGCTGATTAGAGACTTGTATGACCCATAGGTTTGAGATTTTTGAATGAATCTGCCTGATCAAATGCAAGCCATGTTTAGATGCTTAAGGTAAGGAGCTCTGTTAAATTCAAACTAGATCAGCTGAAAATGTTCAGACTAGGGGAGGTAGACTGTGACCTACCCTCAAGTGAGGGGAACTGAATTGTTGATTGATGAGGCCCAAACAGAGAGGTACCAAGAGAATTACTAGAAGCACATATAAGGCTTTTCCTGGAGACAGGTTGCCCAGGCCAAAAGTCCAAGGAAGAGGTGGAATTGCATTTAGGGGCTATGGTGATGACCTCTTGACCCCTTTCTTCTAAAGAGGATCATTGCAGCTGCTAGCCACCACTCCCCTTTCTCCTGCCTCATACCTGTTCCCAACCTAGTTTTAATTCTGGAGCTTTTCCACTCGTACCTTCTGTGGAGCTTGCTAAAAAACATATTGTTGGACCATACCCCCAGAGTTTCTGATATAATAGGGTGGGATCTAAGAATTTGTGTCTGAAAGATCCCTAGGTGATGCTAATGTAGGCTTTGCAATTGGATTACCTGTGTTTAATGATCAGTTCTTTCACTCATAAACTGGGGGCTCCTGAGTAGATTTAACCTATTGCCTTGGTGTCCCCTCACATGTTTTAAAGAAAGTGAGCATACAAGTCATACCTGTCTTATTTGGAAGAGTAGATGAAATAATGCATGAAATCACAGCCTGTTGCATACCGTACTTCCAAAGTCCAACTGTTGATGTTATTTCTCCCAACACACCAACACTACAGAGCTGCTCTGGACCCCAAAGTGCTCCTGTCCTGATCCACCTGCCCATGTAGAGACCCTCAGATATCCCCAGGTTCCAGCAGTCTGCAGAGTTGGGACCACCCATATCTTCCTGGTGCCAGGTTCCTGCACACATAATCAACAATTTTATTTCAAGTCCACCTCAAAGATTATTCAAATTCCACCTTGACTACCACTGAGCCAAACTCCATGGGGCCTCAGGACCCTGTGAGCTGTTTTACTGTAAGCCTGTTACTCTTTTTCTCCTGACTGGGAAACATGTAAGAAAGGACCGGAAGAATCTGTTCTGCTAGCCCAAGCACTGAATTCCATATGTGGTTCAGATTGGATGTTTGGGTTTTAGATGTCCAACTCATCTAGATTTCCAGTGCTAGTGCAGGCTTCTTGATTTTTAGCAAAACTTCCTCTATCCTCCCTTAGCGTCTTAAAATTAAATCTAAATACAACAACCAAACAAAAGTGAATCTAGAAAAAAAAAAAAAAAACCAGAAGAGCTCAATTGCTTAGACTTGCTTTTTGTTTTTATTATCAACAATCAAGTTAATGGTACACTCTTGGAAAACTATATGCACATGTAGAAATATTTCCCTTTTAAATAGAAGCATTCATTATAACACATATAAATAAATTTGAAAATCTGAAACATAACTTATGACAATTATGTTCACAAACATAGTCCAACAAGAAGAAAAAAATCAGACAGACATGCACCTGATAACAAAAATATATACCATTGTCTGAACCATGGTCTCTCTAAACACAAAGGAATTGAACCCGTGAGAATCTTATTACGCCATAAAGACACGCCATAGAGACTACAGAGAAGAGAAAAACATTATACGGTCACGTAGAGGAGACGGTCTGTACTGATATTAACACCATACAATTGAGTCACAGAACACAGTTGTAGAAAGACACGAAAAAGTTAAAGCCTCAACATTCAACTAATATCTATAGTTTGTGCCTTTTAAAATAAAAACAAACAAAAAACCAAAACAAGTCCCAACAGAGATGTCTAACTGCGCAAAGAATGGAATCATCAATATACAGTCCATCCACCCTACAGGATGCGTGTCCATTTCAGGTCATTCAAACAGAAATGCAAACCAAGACACTTCTGCAAACGTGTGTGCCTTTCCCTTGCTTGGTAGATTTCTCTGCAGCCAGCAATCGGACTGCAATTGACTCCAATCCAAAGCAGTGCCAAAAAGTTCAGTAAAAGCTGGTGGAAGAAGAAAACGCCGGGTTGGGGTGGCGGTTGGTGGGAGAGAAAAAAAGGAGAGTTGTGAAATATGAGACACAGTTTGCAGAGTTTGTGGATGAAAAGGCATCTCATGTATAGGGCATCTTTCAGGGCCAAGAGGCTGCAAAGATTCAGGATTAGGAGTTGCAACGGTGTGGGATTCAGATGCACTAATGGTGGGGTGGTGTCCGATGAGGTGGGGACAGGCAAGCGGGCAGCAGAAAGTCACTTTGGCCGCAGGGACAGTCTAAGTGGGACGTCACCACAGTAGCCTGAACCCAAGGACAGGAGGGTAAGGGGGGCTGGAAAGGCTTTCCGTATTCTCCCCCCAAAGAGGAGCATCAGAGTCCATTCTGTTTTGAGCAAGAACCTAGGAGTCAGCTCCCAGACAGCACCAGCCCCCCTTTACTTTGTCTCGACACTCCCTCGGATCTTTTCAAACTTTCTGGTTGTTGTTTTTTAATAGTTGCTATCTTCCGATTTTTTATATTTACTTATTTTTAAAAAATTTTTTCTAAGCAAGTCATAGAGTTGGTTGTGGCCCTCCCATCTCTCCCTGTCACCTGCTCGGGCCACAGACACACATTCCCCGAGACCGACATACACCCAACACGCAGACACAGCCCCCTGAGAGCGCCCCCCGAGTCCAGTCCGCCTGCTCACACCCCCCACTTAGCAGGCTGAGCCCTGGCCTCTGCGCGGCCAGCCACAGGCGGGTGCGAAGCCAGAGAAGTTTTTCCTTTCGTTTTGTTTTGTTTTGTTTGGGGGTGAGGAAGGGGGTAGGAGTGGGGTTGAAATAGGGGCAACGTCATTTGCTCGTTATTCGTATCGCGATTATTTTAGGCCCTCGATGAAAAAGCCACAGCAGCAGCGACAACAATAGCCTTGGGCCTACCCGCTCGCCCACTCGCCCGCCCGGACCCTGGCTCTCGCGCTGTCGCCGCCGCCGCCGCCGCTGGATCCCAGATCAGAACATACTGCTCTTCACTAAGGCGGCTTTGGCACCGTTGGGTCTTTGGAGTGAAGATAGGACGCTGGCGAAGGGGCCACCGAGCGAATCTGGGATGGAGGTGATGGGGCCGGGGCCGGGAGCCCAGCCTTGTCCAGGCCCCCCGGCCGCAGCCAGGCCTCCCGCCGCCGCTGCCGCCGCAGCTGCTGCAGCGGCCGCAGCCGCCGCCGCCGCCGCCGCAGCGCCGCCCTTGCCGGGTTCGCCTCCCGGGCCCCCCGGCCCGGCTGCTCCAGGAGCTCCCGCCGGGCTGGGCCCGCCGCCACCGCCGCCACTCGCCCCGCAGCTGGGGGTGGGGTTGGGATTGGGGCCCGGGCCCCCAGTGCTGTCCGGGTCGGTGCTCTTGGCCTCTTTGCTCTCGTCGTCCCGGGAGGAATCAGACTTTTTTCCCGAGGAGCCGTTCTTGGCTGCGGCCGCTGCAGCAGCTGCTGCGCGCTCCTGCTTGCGAAACTTGGCGCGGCGGTTCTGGAACCACACCTGGCCCAAGAGGGCAGGAAAGACGATGAGAGCGGGGAAAAGAAGAAAGAAAGAAAGAAAAAGTGGCTGTTAGAGTGTCCCACGTTCCATTTCGGACGGTTTTAACAGCCATCCCCTACCCGGTCACCCATGCGCCACAAAGATCACACACAACGCTCTCCCAGCCCATCAAGTCTACCTATCCTTTTTGCCAGTTCAACTTCGGAAAAAAAAAAAAAAACTTTCTCTGGGCGTGAGCATGCTAGGGCAATTGCACCTTGCGCGAGAGGTAAAAAGACCGCAATTCCTAGGACGGCTGTAAAATGGAAGCCCTTGTTTTGCTGTGTCTTTGCTCAGTCGGCTTCTTTGGCAACCCCAAACTCGCCATATCCCAGGGTTCAAGTCTAATGCTAAACTTTAATTGGTAGGAGGGGGCCTCCGGTTTGGCAGCCGGCTGCTGATCTCCGGACTTTGGGCCTGAAGGAGCATGCGATTGTGTGCACCGCCCTTCCACTGGGGGGCTCACCAGGAGAGGCCCCTTGGCCTGCTCTTTAAACACTCTTGGATTCCTAAAAGGTTAAAGTTAAGTCGTAGCTCCTGACCTTCAGGGAATCATAGCTCCTTTCCAAATCTGCTGCAAGTCACAGTACCCGAGAAAAATGCACCATGGAACTAGGTTCAAACACTCTTGGCACTAGGCTAAAAGCGCTTGAATTAGGAGGTATTTAATAAAAATTGTTTATAATACGGGGCAAAATCTGCATTTTCCCCACGGGGCACTTTCTGCCCCTGAATGCTTCGCTCATTCGCGTTCCAAGGACCCCTGAATTCCTCTACTCCAATGGGAAACACTTTGCAGTTGTGAATAAATTGCCAAGAGCGCACGCCCTAACCTTTCCTCGCGCGCACAGCCGTGCCAAATTCAACCACTCTGACCAGCCCTGGGTCCTTGACCCTTCCAATGAGAGGCCCCGGGATTATGAACCCTGAGCAGCACCACCCACCCCGCAACCCCAATCCCTGCCGGGACCAGTGCAGGAGCTGGGTCAGTTTGCCGGCGCGGATACCTGGACTCGCGCCTCTGTGAGGTCGATCTTCAGGGCTAACTCCTCCCGGGTGTAGATGTCCGGATAGTGAGTCTCAGCGAAGACCCTCTCCAGCTCTTTGAGCTGCGCACTTGTGAAAGTGGTGCGGATGCGCCGCTGCTTGCGTTTCTCGTTGAGGCCGCCGTGGTCGGTGAAGAGTTTGTAAGGAACTAGGGGATGACAGGGGAGACAATGAGCAGAACAGTCAGGAGCGCGAGGGCAGCGGGGCTGGAATGCAGAGACTCCAAGGTCAGATCGCCCGGGAGCCGCTACCAGCACTCGAGTAGAGGGTACCCGAGAGGAGCTGCGCGAGGGGGAAAAACCGGAGCAAATTAATTATATACCGAAACAGCGGCTCAAACTTCGGGTTTTGGCCGGGGCCCTTCTAGCACAAGCGCCTTTGGGTGGGTGGAAAAGGCGTATTTGAGATGGCTTGAGGCCCGGGACATGGGATAGAGCTTTCAGCAGGAAAAAACAGTCCAAAAACATCAGTTGTAATATCAGGGAGCCAGGGGAAAAGTTACCAAACACTCCCACCGTTGCAACTTTTCAATTCTCAGAAGTTGACGCGACCCAAAAGTTGGGGGAAAGTGCTGCAAAAAAAATAATAAATGAAAGAAATGATCATAAAAATGACCAGCCAGAGAGGTGTGAGCCGCTGTCGGTTCTTAAAAAAAGAGACACTGCCAGTAATGAGCTTTACTCTTTGTTATTTAATTATTTTCTAAGCTTTACGTCTCATCGCAAAGTAAATAAATTATGCCTATCATTTTGGCAGCTTAAGATAATTTTGTTGGCGGTTCGGGTGTGACTAGGATAGTGTAACCCTGTAAGTGAATTACCCCTCCCTGCAATCGCTTCTAACGTGATAAATTCTTTCATTTGTGTAAGCAAATTTCGTTTGGTAAATACTAAACACATTTCCATTTTCAAATGCAATCAAGGCTTCCTATATACGAGCGGAAAGGCGGCTTCCTCCGCTGAGAGAGCTGGCGGTCCTTACCTGCGGCGTACGGACTGCTCTGGTGGTCCCTGAGGGTGCCGAGGCTGCAGGATCCCGGTGTGAGGGACGGGCAGCCGGACGTGGCCCCAAAAGTGGTCCTTATCGGGTTATACTGGAAGCCACTGGCCTGGCTGCAGGAACTGAAGTCAGCATAGGCTGAAGCCAGGCTCGAGGTGTCCATCCCAGCCATACAGGACTCGTAGGCAGAGGAATTGAGGTAAGAATATTCCATTTTATACATTGAAAAGGTTCTAGATGGCTCAGCCAAGTGGAAAAATGAAATAAAAGATGGATATGGAGAAGGTGGCTGGAGAGGGGAGATGTGCACAGCTCAACGCCTGCCTCCAAACTGGCCTCCTTACTACCAGCAGAGCCTAGTTTTATGAAAAAGCCTCCTATGAGATGCCTTGTCTGAGGTCTCTAGAGCATATAGTCCTCATAATAAACTTGGCTCTTTCCACTTGGACAATAGCAAAGCGGTTGGTCTTATTGCTGGCGCTTTTTACATGACAATAACTCATCCGTCTATTGGGCTGGCACTGGGGAACTGAGCTGTCCAACCTCCCTATCATTGATTCCTGCATCTCTAATTAGAATTTAATACCACACCATTACGCACTGAGCCCCTGATCCTCCCTTCTAACCAGCTCCCTGCCCTTTAATTCAATCACACTACTTGGAAATAATGAAAGTTGGGTGACGATTCTCCCTGATCCAATTTCCCCGAGCTTTTAAGCCTTTTTAACTGATCATATACCTAAGGCATAAATTGAGATAGTGTGCGTGTTTTCCCCCTTCTTCGTCCTCTTTTTTTTTTTTCCTCCCTTCCCTTGGTTAGGGAGAAGAAACCTTGATGTCATAGAAAACCTGTTTTGTAAGAGTGTTACACGCTCAATTTAACAACAAGCCTACCCCCCGAAGTGCATGAAATGTTATAAAGGACTGGGACATTGGCAAGACTCAGGCGCCCTGTAACATAGAGTAAGTGGGCCAAAGGGGTTTATGTGAATGATAAGCAGATTTCTTTAAAATTCACCTGGTAGCAGAGGTGAAAAAAAAAATACAGAACATATTATCAATTGCATTTCTCTGCAGCTTAATGTGCTTTCAAGAAACTCAGGCATACAGCCGCTTAAAAAATAAAAATAAGAAATAAACCTGAGTAAAGCTCTCCAATGTAAAACATCTTGATTCTCCACCCATGAGTTCTTTGCGCTCAGTGCTGCATCTGAATTAGCAGAGGTTTGTATCTGGTTGGTTTAGGGATTCAGAATGGTTGTTCAGTTTAATTACGCCATAGCCACCAAGTGGGCATGAAGCATACCCAAATGTGCCTCCTCTTTCAAGCCCTTCTGGTGCTCTCCCTTTCTTTTTTTGCCTCCACTATTCTCAGGTGCCCACAACCAACCATAGACCTCGGGCTTCCCAAACAGGATTGCTGTTTACCCTTTAGATTTGCGGACTGCACTGGGAGAACCCCTTTCCATTTAAATGTCCAGGCAAAAGCTCCAAGACCGGGCAGCTTCCTTGCCGGATTCCTCAGGCCCTTGGGTGCTGGCAGCCAGGCACAGACAAAGAAGGGAGCCGTGATTTGTGGACCTCGGTGGCCTCATGATTTAAGTGGAGGATAATTTTCATTTGGTTCGTTAGACTCTAGCAGAATAAGGGAAACTATTTCATTAAATCCTTCCTCTCGGTGGACAAGAGGGGGAATACTGAGTTGAATCGCCGTGTGGTGTAAACAAACCCTGGATATTTTATATGAATTAAATGTGTAGATAATTAGTTTTATTGCATTCATTACCCCCTTTATGTGCTCTGTAACAAGTCAGTAATTAAAGTAACAAACTCATAAAGTCTTTATAGGGGCATTTAGGCGTTCAGTGTTTGCCAAACTAAGTGGTTTAATTCGATGCTAGTGCCGGGGAGTGGATGGGCGCCCGCTCTCCACTGCCACCCTGTTTTATTGCGCACTAAACTACTGAGGATGCCGTAATGGATTAAACAGGGACAGCGGCCCCCCAACCCTGTGCTTCTCTGTGGGGTGAGTTTCAGGCTCCTCTCAGGTGTGTTTGCCTGTCCGCCGGACATCAGAAAGAGCTAAAGTCGCGAGAGCAGGCAGCGAGACCTACCAAGGAACTCGGTGATAGTTTTATGGGGAGGGCTGATAGTTTTATTGCAGTTGTATGTTGTACAATGCGTATTTGATAAAGAGGGCCCTTGGTGACCAGTGTGCACTTTTTTGTGCACAGGGGTGAAATGAAAATAAATGCGTACAAGGTTTTACTGCGGCGGTAAACAAATTGCAATGCTCTAAATGGTTTTTCTTTATGGTCACCAGACAAGAGGAGAAAGGGGATGCAAACATCTGTCTTCAGTCCCCTAAACCTAAAGGCCAGCAAAGACGGATGCGAATCCAAGTGTTATTACAGAGGGGATTTGTCTTTATTTATCCCGCTCTCATGAATATGAATCTGCATTTGAACCAGGAGGTGGCTGGATCCCTTTGGATTCCACACAAGGAATTTCCCCCACCCCTAATTCCCCACCACCTCCTCACTTAAGAGAGATGGGGTTACAAGGATGTGATTGTCCAAGTTTCTGGGTTCCATCAGAATTCGGGGAATAGAGGTTGCTTCCCCGTTTTTCTAAGAGGATCCTACATTCCAGTCCCGCCATGGGGAAGTGTATGACGAGAACATCGGCCAGGGTAGCAACCAGCCAGCCCCACTTCTCCATGGCTGAGGTGGGGTTTAAGCGCGTTTCTCTACAGGAATGACTTGGGGTGTCCGGGAGAAGATGCGTTTCAGCTCCAAGATCTGTTCTTGACAACAGCCAGGTTCCGGGTTCACAGCACTCTTGGAATCGGCTCTTCGGTGCAGCTGGGGTGCATCTGCATCTCTGCGGGTTGTAGAGTGTGCGCTCCTGGGGAAACTCCATCCCCGCCCTGCGCTGCTGCCCTGCACCCCAAGCTGGAGCCCTACCACAAATCCTAGTGCAGGTCAATTTCATCTTGAGCCAGGGATAGCTTTTGAGACAACCACAAGTGTGCAGGAGAAGTCGGAGAAGCGGGGTTTATGCCGGCAGGTTTTGTAGATGTTTCTTAGGGCAAAGTGGGAATTTGGGGATGTAGCAGGTTGCAAGGGGCAATTCCTGCCCGAGGTGGAGTCTGGGGTAAGAAATTCACTGTGCAACTCAGGGGAGCTGGGTTGACTCAGCGCCTGTGGGTTGACTCAAGAAAAAGCGAAGGGAGCGGGTCGAGGACTTCGTCAAGGGCCCAGACGAGGAAAGTATCAATGCGCGGAGGATGCCCCAAGATGGGGCCAGGGCCAGACCCAACCGAGGCCAGTACTGATAGCCTGCCCGGGGCTTGATCCCTCCTCGCCCTGCAGTCTGGGTCTCCCCGCGGCCTTGGCTCCCCGCCGCCGCCTCCTCATAGAGCCAGCCCTCTCCCCGGCGCCGGGGCAGTTCCCCGGCCTCTCTCCAGGCGCCCCCTGGTGCCCAGCCGCGGTGCGGTGCGCCCCCTCGCCTTTGTAGGAGCAGACCTTTCAGCGCCGGGACCGCACGGTCGGATGAGCAAACGCTCTTGACTTCATTTTCCCCTTTGTAGGCCTTGTAGGTTTATTTTGTTTAGTGTCACCGTCCCTCCCCCGCTAGCCCTGGCCCATCGTTCCTCTGCCCGTCTTTTGTGGCCCGGGGTCCTGCTTCTGCTCAGAGATGAAAGGCGTGCGGGGCTGGGCCAGGCCAGAGCCCCAGCCCCAGCGCCCTGTTTTGTTCCAGTTGTGCTTTCTACACGCGAGCTCTCCCCTAAAAGTTGTACCAAATGGTTAATTTAATTATTCCAACTATAGACCAACTGCTTCAGCAGCCTCCACCACGCGTCTGGGAGGAAAAAAGAAACCATCTATAAGAAATAATCTAATAAAAGTGAAGTGTAGAAAAACCCCTCCTGATTTTCAACCGGCACAAATAGAATTAGAGCTTCAGCATCCTTTTCCCAAACAGACCTTTTGTCCAGATCACAACTTCAGCCAACCAGCAATGTGTACAGTGCCTGCTATTTATTTTAATAGAGGCGGGTGGGTAGCGAGATGGATTGATAGATAAATGGCCACATGGATAGATGGATGGTTTGATCCATCTTCCTCTGACTTCCCTTTCTTAATATGTATACACGGTTGATTTTTTTTTCCCTTGCCGATTTTCTGAATCAATAATGGAAAGGCAATGCTATTGGCAAAAGAAAAAAAAAAAAAAAAGCCATTTAAAGTACAAAAAAGGGAAGAGCCTACCAGCATATATGCCATGAGAAAAAAAAAATGTTTACATGCTACCCAGTACCAAATGAAAAAGGTTGAAAGTTTAAAAGAAACTTTTCTTTCCTTTTCTTTGCCATTCATAGGAGGGTTTCTTTTTCTTCTTCTTTTTTTCCTTGAAAGTCAGAAAGAATGTTAGAAGACAAGGAAACAAAACAGCAAACAAAATGCCATTGTATTGTAGTAGCAATTCATGGGAAAAAGCTTGTCAGCCTCCTAATGCCTCACTCCTAGGAGGCTGTTTTGAGGCTGTTTTACCACAGGCAAAACACAATAACTTGGGAATGAATAAAATATTAAATACCAGTGAGAGTTTCAGAGGAATTTTATTTTTGATTGCTTTATTTAATGCTGCATCCAAATTATCCCAGCACAGCCAGCCCATTCCCTAGCTAAGCCTCCACTCAGAACCAACATTCTCTCAACCAGAGAATTAAAAGGCAAGCTTTGTCCTTGGGTTTCTTCAAAAAGATTTCTGCAGACAAGCAACTCTTCTCATTCACCTGCACCAAAGAAAATAATCTAGAATTTATTAGGACAGCATTTCCCCAGAACATAAAGCAAAACAACCACAGCATTCCCAAGCCTGATGGCTCACTGTATTGGCCTAGCATTAAGATATATTTTTTTAACCACATATTTTAACTGCATAGGAACCATAATACATGTTTCATAATAGAAACTTTGGGGTTCTAGTAACTAACTTCCTGGCTCTGTGAGACTAATAATTTTATTAGCTGATTGACAAAGAGTTTGCAAAGCAATCAACACAGTGCTTGGTACCCAGAAAGAATCCAGTAGGTGTCAGCTACCAGTACAAGAATGATAGTGATGATGATAATGATATTGGCAGAGTCTGAATTGTGTATCGAACACTTGAATTTGGAATTTAGATGATTAGTAGACATACCGTCTTTTCTATTGCATGTTTATGTGGAAGAGGATAGGCAAGTCAAAGAGTAGGCTCTAGGAGATTAATGGGGAAAAAAAAGAGGTAGAAAATTTTCATTTTTTAAGGAATTAACTAAAAGCCATATTTTTATTGGATAAGTTTACTCTATGTTTTATCTTACATTATATTCAATACTTATGCATGATTAATAAGGTGCTTCACCCCTAATGTTGTATGTTCAGAGTGATGTCTCTGAAAAAGACACTTGCCCTAGGTAAGCATGTGAATTTGGGTTGGATCTTTAATGATAACTCCTAGCTGGTGTTTCTGTATCTGGATTAACTTTGGAGGCATCCCATGGGGTACCAACCCCGTTATCCACACTTCAAAGGA